CTTCAGCCAGTGGCCAGAAAGTAAGGAAGGTGATCTCCCCTTTAACTGTAATTATCTATGGGTTTAAGATAGAAGTAAAATTAATGCAGATGTTGTTCGGAGACAGAGCTATGTACGGCATCTTTGTGGTGGGAGAGGGGAAAAGTTATTCAAGCAATGTACAATACCTACTGATATATCACCTACTGTGGTTTATATTTGTTCTTTTTTAATATATTCATCCATAAAACACTCTTTTTTATTCCCCCCTCACATTAACTTAAGGTGATTCCAAAGTACAAAGAGTTGAGACCCTACTCATGTGCTAGACATTTTCATCTTTGAGTAAAGTCGGTGGGAGCCGAGGACACTAAGCATCTATCTATTTTTGAACAAGATTATGGGGTGTGACATGCAAGCACCTTGCAAGAGCGTAGTAAGTGATGCATCCCCTGGGGCTGCCTTTCACATACTCTCATTTGAAGATCATAATGCTTCAGCCTTTGCAGGGCTGGAGCTGGAAAGGTTGGGAATCATGCCTTCCATGCAGCAGGGTCTGAGCTATATGACAGAACCCCCAGGTTGTTCAGCAACTTAGCTGACTTGAAGTAGAGCACTGGAACAAAATATGTTCTGAGTGATTTTTAAGTAAAAGCTAATGTGAAAATGTGGGAGTTTGAACCAATGTAAACATATTAAATTTAAAACAATTTTCAAATGTAGTAAAGAAAAAAATAGTATTCCTGCTCTTGAAATTCCTAAAGGACACATTTTTCCCTCTGAGTCATGATTTAATCAGATTATATTTTATTAGACATTCTTTACAAATTTTAAAATACTGCTATTATACATGCACAAAGGAAAATCAGTTTGAACAATTGTATGTAGGCATTCATTGAAGTCAACCACAAACCAGAAACATTTTATGTCAGTTATCAATGTACTCGATATGTATATCTAAAGTGCATTATGTAACAAAAAATATAGAAAGTCAGCAGCACCAAGATATGTTCACAAAATAAATACACCAGTCAATGAAATAAATTATGGTAAATGTGACAATAATAATTGTCTTAGCCTTAGCTAAAAAAAAAAAGAAAAAACAAAGGGGGGAGGGAATTTTACAATAACCAAATGTGCAGTTTCAGAGAGCAATGGGGGGGAAAGGTTTTATTCTGAGCATTTACAATATTTACAGGTAATAAATATTTTAATACTTCCCATATGTTCACTATTACAGAACACTGCAATATGTCTTCCAAAAATCTCTTGCTGAAAATGTCAGCGCCTCCTGCAAAGAAAAAATAGACAGAAAAAACCAGAAAAATCAATTTTCACTTCAAATACATGGACATAAAATGAATATCAAGAGTGCCACAGACTATGATGGGTAAGCCTTGTTGGTACACATTTTTAAAAACAGGGCCAGCTTTAGAGATCTTCTGAAGACCTCTACTACATTTGCTTCAATATAACTCAGGTAGCATTTTGGAGACCTGCAGTTTGTCACAACACTGAGGCCATCTATTCCACTATATTGTACACCCAGAGAAATAGGAAAGGGTTTTCATTTTCATTAGAGCCTTATGCAAGAAGATTCCTGAGTGCTACAGGTAGAAAAATTGCATCAACCTATAATAAATATGCCAAGCGCTAAATGGAAAAAAAAAATCCAAACCAAAAGCATAAAATGAGAAACTTGTTTGGAAGATAAGAAGACAGTCCTTATTGAATACTTTGGCAATCATGCCCCTACTGTTAACTGCTTGGGTATGGTGCCAAGCTTATGATTAAAACAATGCCATGGAGTCTATCTTATCCACACAGACCACTTGTTATACAAGGGTCTGTTCACCTTAGAGGTATATGTTTCTGTGGTGCTATATACATGAATGTATGCAGTACTCATGCAGTAAAGGCAGCTCAGGTCTTGAAGCGTCCAGACCCTTGACAGTGTGTCTCTTTAAACTCTCAAATGAACAAAAAGTTTATAAATCCTGAAAGTTTCCCTCTGTAAGCCAAAGAGCTTGGACCTGAAAGAAAAGAAACATCTTCTCATGTTAAGCTCTGACTCCCACTGCATTCAGTCCAACCTGAAACAGTCAGCTGTATACAGTCCAAAGATTTGGGAGTTTTCTTAGGGATACTGGCAGCCTGGTGTGAGATCTCTACTCTTCCCTTCCTTGTGAAGGTATGAGAACAAAAGCAGAGCCAGCTCCTACCCTGTTAGTATATTACTTATACTACAATATTATTTTAAGTTAATTCTTAGTGGTGCCACAGGGAATGCTGAAGGGTTGGGCTTTTTCCCTTCTTTCCCTGTGAACGGCACATTACTGTAATGCACGTTTATTCCCTGGGAAACAGCTATACGGTGGAATACAAAGCTATTTTTAGGATGGAGCTGGATTTGCCCTGTGGCTGGACTGATCACCAAAGCCATGGGCAGGCGTGTGTGGGTGTGAGACACAAAAAAATGCAAATCCTTGAGAGTTTGAGGGGTTTTTTTAAATGCGCACATTGAAAGTGAGACTACTTTTAAGCTTAGGGAGTCTACTCATTTGAGAGGTTTCTTAGGAAATTAGGTAAGAACATCTTAATTGAATTGGAATGGGAATACAGCTGGAATGTCCCTGAGAAACAATTTTTAAGTGCCTGGAATGGAAATACTAGCATGAAGCTCCTTAGTAATTAATTGGTAATATTAGGATGTATTCAGGCGATATTACAATATGTACAATAATAGCACACAATTCATACAGCATGACTGTATATGTGTGTCTACACTTCACAGATCTGTTTGTAAGAGGGTGATGTTTTCAATTGGGCTTGGAGTTTAGGCTTTGTTTTAGACTTTAAGCTAAGCCACATCTCAACAATGGGCTCTGTACTAATGACTATTTGCAAGATGCCTTCTGTGATTTGGTCCCAGATTTTGCAAGATTGGCTTCTTTTATGAGGTATTTCCTGTAGTAAATCAAAAGATCTAGAAAATACATTGGTTTTGGTCTTTTTTCTGGCCTAAACCCAAAATTTTGGGATCAAGATTGTGTGGAGGGAATTGGCATGAGGATTTTAATTCAGTGTGTTGAGCAGAAAAGCTGCACAAAGATACAGTGAAAAACATGCTTAAGTGTTTAAGGTTTATGTTTGCACTTCCTTATTTATCCTGCTGCATTAGGCATATCCACTTCTTCACTGTAAAGTAATGATGCTTCTTCTAAGCTGCAGCTAGCCTTAGGGGTGCTATAAAAGCAAGTTCTACTGGCACAGCATATGGAAATCCTGTCTGTGCACACCTTCCTTGCCCCCCTCCCGAGCAGATAGAGTAGAAGTTCCTGATTCAGCTCAGTACAGCTGAGGAACCAACCTCACTCAGATGTGGTCATCCCTCCATGAAAATGTGCTTCCCCACCTTCTGCCAACAACCACATAGACAGCTGCATTGAACCTGACTACTTCTACCTAAAGTACATGTCAGGGAGTTGAGATTTGTTTTCATTTAAATTACAGAAATTAAATCATAGAAATTATATCTTTTGCCGGTTTCTTAAGAGCTGAACTAGCATATTATGTCATTGTGAAGGGGGAATTTAATTTTCCTGGTTTATGACTTCTCTTTGTTTAATCATCTTCAATTAAGAATCTAAAATATAGATCCTCTATAGGAAGCTGTTTCTTGCCCTGGAGAAATACTGCATCTTGAGCAAGAATTTCAATAAGGTAAAGCTGACTGCCCTTAGCCATCCAACCATACTTGAAACAGAAAGGCTGAGCAAGGAAAATCAACAGGGTTGTACCTGCAGTATCCAAATGCCTTTGGATATACAACCAAAGACAGAGTAGTAAGAGAAAAAGTAACAGTTTTTTCCCTGCATTCAAGATTTCGATGTGCCAAAGACATGTGCTATTTATTGGCAACCATAGTTTTTTAAGATCCTTTGAAAAGTCAGGTGTCTCCTGACTGGAGACCTGGAGTGTGCCTCCTGAAGTGCTGAGACAAACCAGCCCTTCTTACTACACTACTAACTGCTACAGCCATGCTAACATGTTTATGGTCCAGGACACTGAATGTCTAATCCCAAATGCTGGTAAATCTTGTATATCCCAGTAGAAGTTGAGGTGATGGAGCATGTTGCGAACTGTGGCCTGTAAAGCTCAACCCAGGAGTGTAGGGTTTTTTAGTAAATCCCACAGCTGGTGTCTCTTTCTAAGGGATTTACTGTGAGCAAGTGGCACTCCTCTTACACCTCCATTCTGCCAAAGGGGAGGAAGAAAGAAAAGAGTGGGAAAATGCAAACATTTGAGGAGAATTGAGGGACAGACTCCTTGGATTTGCCTGCAAGTGTGCAGACTTCCACGCAAGCGGAGATGACTGCAAGCAGATGAGCCACTTGGGGCACCTAGACTGAAGTCTTCAGCTCACCACTGCCCTAAAAACCCTTCATTGTCATACATGAGGGAAGCACGTCTCTCTCTGAAAGCAATGCTCAACATTTTTCAGCAGTAATGTAATCATTTCACAAGCTGGCAAAAAGATGGTGCTGAATTAAAAAGTCCTAATGGCAGGGAAAATTTTATGATGAAAGGCTGGTCTGCATTGTTTGCAGATATTACTAAGAGGGAAATTTTCCGTGTTCTCCCCTAAGGTTAAGCAGTAAAATGAAAAACTGTAAAGTAAGGGTAGGAAAGTTGCCAAAAAGGGGAGGCGTTGAGAGGGAGGAAAGAAAACTTCACCATTTTATAGATGCAGAGCCTTAAAGAAAACTCAAAGTTTTCAATCTGCTGAGGCCCAAGTGTGGGACCACGATTTGATGCAAAAGACACTAAAATTAAAACGGTAAAGGAAATTTTAATGGCTATGATGTGCTTTGGTTTTGCAGAAATAACTCTACCTACTACTAACTCAGCTTCAGGAGGTTCATTTTGGCAGTAAGTGTTTTACTTTAATTGTTTGTCATAGGAAAGACTTTGTCACATGTGTAAAGTGAGAAGGGTACTTACCTCCAGAAAGCACCTTGATACTGTGCACTGCTTGAAAAGCCACTGCTCAGTTATGAGCAAACCAGTGTGCTATTACTCCAGTTTTGAGTGAGGCCTTGGTCTCTCACACCGAATGATAATAACTTCAGTATAATATATGGTATGCCAAAAGATATAGCAGAATTACCTTAAAGTGTGATTATGTGTAGTAACAGAGTTGTCCAAGAGTGGGTTCTCAGTCACGATGCTTCCATACATGCCAGAATTTAACCAAGCTGAGCGGGCTCGCCTCTTTTTCTTTTCTTGTTCCTTGCGTTTTCCAGGCTTTGCTTTCTTTTTCTTCCCTAATACCTTCATGGGCTGCTCCTTGTAGGTCTGTGATTTGTTTGTCTCCTGAGTTAGGTATCTGCCCTCATCTTCACTACCAAATCGTACAGGGTAGTTCTTTGTGTTGGTAGCAGGCTTAGGGTTAGGTGAAACCTCTGAAGTCGCACGGATTTCTGCAGTGTTGACACCTTCAATTAAATTTTGAAGGAATATTCTTCTTCGTAAATCTTGGATTGACTTGCCCTTGTCATGCAATAGCTGGTGCTCTGATACAGCCCGTTTGCTAAAGAAAGAGAAGAGAGGAGGGGGAAAAAAAACCTTTAAGATTTGGTTATTGCCTAGTACTTGGCAGAGTTCCTCTTTCTTCTGGCAGTGGTGGCCACACTGTGAGTGACTGTGTACCAGCTCTCAGGCTTGGAGACATCAAGTTAAGTCAGACTGCTGGAGCAAGTCCTGCTTCTCAGAGTAGCTGCTCCCTACAGAGAAGGGAAAGACCTAAGCGGGTAATAATTCTCAGCTGACTGATCATACAGCAATGGACCTGGACTTGGATTAGTCACTGTTCTGTTCTAGGAAAGCATTACAACTCTTAATATATCACACTTCAGGCAGTAAAAGCAGGAAGGCAGTTGTCAGAGGTAGGAAAACCAAAGGGTCATATAATGGAGCACTGGAGTCAAGCAAGAGAGGGAATAACAAGTACTTGTACGGAAGCTGGAAGCAGTGTTTATATAGCATCATTCTAACAATTTTCTTCTGCTCAGTCATGTACTTCAAAAACATAAATAAATGCATAAAAGTGTATTTCATTTCTAAATTTAAGTAAGTGCAATTGCAGAAGCATAATGGAAAAATGTATGAATTTGGGTGCCTGAAACATAGGCACTTCAGTTCATAATGAGCTATCCAGAGAGGCAGCCTGAGCATCAGCAGAGAAGAGCCTCAGCCACTCCTGTTGAATTTACTGCTTGGCCACTTCTGTCTAATTATGGGGTTAGATGCCTTTCTAGTATTCCTTTAAGCGTGAACTTTTGGGACCAGTTTTCTTGTCTGCTGTGCTCTCCAAGTTTTATACTAGCCCTCTTCACAGAATCTTCTTCAAGAGCATCCAGGTTTGTTTGAGCAGGTCTCTGGTACTTTTCCAGAGTTCGTGACCATTTGGTTCACTAGCCTTTGTCTTGTTTTCAAGGAACTGGGTGATGGTTTAGCTATCTGTCTTTCAGAGATGTTGTACTGGTGAAGAATGTATGAAACATCTGAGGAAAGAAGATACAAGTGGCACCTGGATAATAAATAACCATGATAAAATACATGCTTTTGCCTTGATGTGGAATAGACGCACAGCTGTGCTGTGAACCACAGAAAGAGCGCAGGCTGGGATTTTAGCTATGTTCCCATGAATGCTATAATACAGTTTATCCTTCCAATTGCCCTAGTTCAGTGTGCAGAGATTGGCTATGTATCCTCTCATCTTGCATCAGGGTACTCCATGTGACTGGATCCTTACTGGCCAAAGAAAATGAATTCACTGCCTTGCCTGTCGTATAATCATTTGGTCAGTTGGCTGGATAAGAAGTTGTTTCTGCATGCGGGTGAAATGGGAGAAGACACATAGCTGTGAGTGAATATTCCTTCCTTTCATCCCATGCCTAATTATCCTGCTATGTTACCAGGCTGCAAAATGTGGTGAACAAAGACAGCATGCTAAATGATTGGTAGTGTTCTACAACTTATGTTTCTCAGTCCCTTCAGCCAAATTCTTTAGACTGTGATTTGATCAACAACCTACCTGAAAATGGCAACTTCAGGTTGCATCGGTTTAAGAGCACTCCCTTCACTTTTCATCTTTGCAAAGCTGCACTTTTTGAGTACTGGGTTCAAGCGATGGGTTCAAGTGACACTACATCTCTCTTATTCAGTGTAAAATTCAAACAGCAGCTTTCCCCCATTCCACAATGAGACTGAAAGATGACTGCTGGTTTTGCATGAAATCATACAGTAGGGATATCTGTTCAAAAGCAGGCCTAGATATACTTGAGCTTGTGAGCAAACATTGTCTGTTTTAAGCATCCCAAAATCAGTTGTGTATGACTTCAGGCTTTAGGGCAAATATTTTGTGCCCTTCAACTCAATGCCCCTAAGCAAAAATGCAATGTGATAATACTGAGCTGAACCCATTTTGTTTCTTTCTCTTGAGTGCAGCTGTGATCATTAACACAAGCTAAAGATTTCCCCCAGGAGAATTTTTTTGTCCGGTGCATTCCCTGAAGCTCTCCAATAGCCATCTCTAACAGCCTTCTCATTGAGGTCAGTCTGATTTGCAAGTGCACTAATAAAACTAGCACCTTGGACTTATCTGAGTGGCATACTTCTGTGCTCTTGTCTATCTGTCCATTGTGGCTCACGTTACATTCCTAACTTCAGTAATCTGTTTTCCCAGGATATTTGCATGGGAAATTCAGTTCTCCTTTCACTCTTCTAGTTTATAAAAAGCATACAAAATCTCAGTGCTTTACTGAGTCTAAAACAGTATGTATGTCTCATGTGATGAGCAAAGCTTTCCTACCGCCTCTTGTAAACTACCAAGGATAATTCCTTTTATCACAGACAACCTAAAGCCGCCTTAATCCTGTAATGTGTATTTGGTCAATTTACCCTCTGTGACAAAATCTTGAATCTCTAAAGCCTATTATTAAAGTACTCTTGATTGAAAAGCTATTCCATTTTACAGAGCTGAAACCTAAAGATTTGGTTCCAGTACACACAAGACAGTCAAAGAGCATTACAAGGTCTACATCTTGAGTGAGTATGCCTTTCCAAAATAATGCAGGGATTGACATGTGAGGGGTTAGTGTGCCAAAAAGGGTGGGTTTCTGTTTAAATGTCTGTATGATATTTAGCATCAAGTCTGGCCCCAAATAACATTCTGCCATTCCAGATGATTGTATAACATTACGTAGTGTTACATTTCACATGACTTTTATTACTCAGCCAGACTTAAGGATTACATTTTGCCTATCAACTTCCTTTGTACGCTCTAGATCAAAAAATCTCTTTAAAACAAAGATGTGGTAGATACATATCTCTTTAACCTTCTGCCTCGATTATTCAAACAACTCCTATGTTTGTATACCAAGGAGAAGGCTGATGTAAGAAGTGCTTCATGGTAAAGATATCAGCAGTGTCTCACCCACACACTCAGAGTAGGAAGGCAATGGAAACTGGAATGATTGCATTCACATCTTGGGTATGATACATAAGAAAGTCTTAGGCTGTCAGGATTAAGATGACCCACTAGAGGTCCCTTCCACCCTGCTGCAAAAGGTACCTCTCATTCAGGGAAACAGAGTCTGTACCCAAACCAAGTGCAGTAAACGCTAAGCTAACATGTGGTAGGCACTTTTGAGAGAAGGATGTTGGTGGTTTGCATTTGACCAGAGCATCCAAACTAATTAGTGTATCCAAGTACTATGCACATACAAGACAATGTCTCATTACGTGGAAAACAGTAGAAATCCATGACTTGTGACTATCCTGACTTCATGTACTTCCAGATAAGATGTTCTTTTCAGACACATTCCTTCTTTATTTTTTTACCCTAGATATCTAGCATCACTGAGAAGCAACATTCTTCAAGCAACAACTTTCTGTTTCAGAGAGTTGCTCTTACTTGTTGTTATCCTTGAGTATTCACATTGGGGCTGATCATAAGTTTAACAAAATAACTAGGAAGGATTCAGTCAGCTCTGGATTTTACAAGACTGAGTGCTCTCACTACTGGCTCCAGAGGGAGCGAAAACTGCTCAACCTATCTCAGGGTTAGCAAAAATATTTTGAACAGATCTGGGGACATGATGCTGCAGTGTCTGGGCGTGCTGAAAAAAATATCTAGTTTCACTTTGAGGCATTGCTGGGTTTCTCAAAAGTTTTTTAGCAGCTAAAGCATTTCTATTACAAATAATATGCCTGGCAATCTGTTATTGGGACAATTTGCTGCTGCTTTCCATGGGAGATTTGCCTCAGTAAAGTCTGCAGAATCAGGCCTACATCATTTTGATTATTTTTGCATGGCTATAATGATGTGCTTCAGTATTTTCATCCGTTACTGGTTTAAGCCTTTGACTGAAAAAAATATCTCTAGGCTTAAGTGAGTTATTAACCATTAACTCTAGGAATGGTTTGTGGTGATATTAAAACAGGACACATGTTTGAGTGTGGTGTCTGTGTTTGTGCTGTACCCACAAACAAAACTACGTGAATGCCACTAACTGACAGCTAACTGGTTTCTTGTGTGTGTTTTACATGCCATAGCAAAGAGGGAGCTAAGAAATGCATTTTGACTGCTTAGCTTCCACTTTTCTTCCCCCCTGTCAGGATGGAATGGGGATGTTGGAAAGACGTCTGATCCTGACCTTTAAAAACAAGTGTTAGAACAACACCAGCTTCAAAAAAAAACAACAGGGGAGAGTATTTCTTAGCAAATCTAACTTCTTTAAAAAACAAATTTGGCTCAGATCCAGCTCAGAGTTTCCTAGCCAAGAGAATAACAGCATTTGACTGTACTTCAGTTATTTTCAGATAACTGTACTGCAGATTTTTTATTTCTGAAAGTGAGATTTGTTTCCTCTATATTCAAAGAGAGGAAAAATGGCTGCAAATGAAAGAAATAGCTCAACAATAGTTTGCAAGAGTACAAAACAGCTCAGCATTAATGGACTGGGAAGAAGACACTGTAGCTTTATCAGCAATAACATGTTCTACACAATTTGCTGTAGGAGGTTTGTAATAGCTGTCTGCCTGGTGCCAAAGCTTAGGCGTGTCTGTAGTCACTTCACCTGGGGGATTTTCTTTGTTGCTTAAACGGCAGAGGAAGTGCTATTTGGAGATCTCGTCCTTATGTATGTAATAAAACATTTACAAGGAAACCCATCTGAAATTGTTTGCCGTGTCATGTTTCCCTATAAGTTGTGATTGGATTTTCCAGCCCTCTTTCCCCATCCTGACTTCCTTTTGAACTTGGTGACAATACAGCCCTCCACGCAATATGACTGAGGTGTTTCTTCCTTAGAAAATCTGATGCAAGTCCAGTGAAAGCCAGTGAGTTAGATGGGTGAGAGAGCTGCTCCTACATCAGCCTAGTGGCTTCGCCTCTGCACTTTGCGTAGGGGTATTAGTATAAACCATGCTGATTATTTTGGAAGGAGCGAAGAGGTCATTTCCTGAACAGACTTTCTTAAGTTACATTATCATTTATCAAAAAATATGCTTCTGCCTCCAAGCCTCCAAGATACTGGACTCCCTTTGGATTTTTTTTTTTTTATTTCTTCCCCCCCCCCGCCCCGAAGCGGCAGAAATCCAGTGAAGTTGTTCAGTACTTCAGTTTCATGACAGCCCTCATTACCGTGTGTCTCCCCTACCTTTATCAATATTGGCTCCATGCCAGTACCAAAGAAGTATATGTTATTTAGTGTAACACACAGCACTTTGATAAAACAGGATGCTCCCGACTAGGACCCTCCTGGGGTGCAGAAAGGTGCACGAGCAATAGCACATGCTGGACAAGCACACAGCTGCCTTGCTACTCCCCTCGGAAGAAGAAACCCTCAGCTTTAACATCTCCTTTCCCGAAGCTTTATCGTCTCCTTCCCAAAAGCTTTATAAGACCGGGCAGCTGAAAAGCGCCCTTTTGCTGCCCCAAATGCTCTCTATCGCCGCAAGGCCACCAGGGAGCACCTAGGTTACCTGGGGCAGGTAACTCGGAGCCGCTCCGCTGCAGAGCGCTGCTGGGGCTGCAAAGCCTGTGGGGTGTTCCCCCTCCCCACCCGCACAGCCACCCAAAAGAGGGAAAAGAAACCAAGAGAAACTCACAGTCTGCGGCTGATTCCCTCTACTGATCTCCCGTAAGAGG